CAGTGGCCGCTCCCGGCCACCGCAGGCTCGACCTGCTGGGCTCCGGCGATCCTTCCGCCTTAGCCTTCTGAGTAGCTGGAACTACAGGCGCGCACTACCACACCCGGCTAGTTTTTGATTTCTTGTAGAGATGAGGTCTCGCCAAGTTTCCCAGGTGGGTCTCGAACCCGTGGGCTCAGGCAATCCACTTACCTCAGCCTCCCGAAGCGCTGGGATTACAGGTTGAGCCACCGGGCCGGGCTGATATCTCTTTTTTTATGTTCAGTTTGTTTGATTCAAGATCCAGGAAGGTCTACATACGTTTGGTGGTTACAAATTTTAATTAAGTCTCTTTTAATCTAGAGCAGACACAACCTTCCCACCTTTTTTTCTTCTGCCAGTGACTGGTAGAAGCTGGATTAGCTGTCCTACAGAACGCTCACAACCCGCACTTGTCTATTTGCTTTCTGTGCTATTATTAAACTTGTTTCTTTACTCTCTGCAATTTTTTCTTTCTTTCTTTTTTTTGAGTTGGAGTCTCACTCTGTTGCCCAGTTTGGAAGCACAGTGGCATACTCACAGTTCAGGTGATCCTTTCACCTCAGCCTTCCAAGTAGCTGGAACTACAGACACATGCCACCATGCCCGACTAATTTTTTGATTTATTGTAGAGATGAGGTCTTGCCAACTTGTCCAGGCTGGTCGTGAACCTGTGGGCTCAGGTAATCCTCTGAACTTGGCCTCCCAAAGTGCTGGGATTATAAACGCCTGGCCCCTTACAACTTCAGTAAATGAAAGTTAGCACATCTCATAGGAGGCACTGTGTGCTTCATGTTGCCTTACATTAAAAAGACGTATTATTTCTTGTTAATCCACTTATAGTGATGCTAAAAATCGATCAACATATTCAGGTGGTGACAGGCTGAACCCTAACCTGTAAAATTCCTCAACCTTTCATCCGTTGCCTTCATCCTAAATTAAGCTGATGCATGGATCAAATATTTTTGGGAGGCTTCAGTAGTGCTTTTTTTTCTTTCTTTTTTTTAATTTAAAAGATTCACAATTTTACCCCTGGATCACTATGGCTCATGGTTGTTATAAAGAATGAGGCAGCCGGGCATGGTGGCTCACACCTATAATCCCAGCACTTTGGGAGGCCGAGGAAAGAGGACTGCCTGAGCCCAGCCTGGGAAGTGTGGCAAGGCCTTGTCTCTGCAGTAAGTCAAAAAATTAGCTGGGCGTGACATCATACTTAGGAGGCTGAAGTGGAAGAATCGCCTGAGCCCAGCAGGCCGAGGCTGCAGTGGCCATGAGCATGCCACAGCACTCTAGCCTGGGTGACAGAGTGAGGCTCCCACTCACAAAAAAAGAAAAAAAGAGGTCAATGTACACATATAAAATGAAAAGATATCTAAGATAAGAATTTAAATAGGAGAAGAACAAAGTATAGAACTGTACATAAAGTATGATTCATGTAAACCAAGCAACCGCAGGTACACACATATGCAGATATGTGGGATTATGATGCAGAACTTTGGTTTTTTGCTTTACATACTTCTATATAGAAATGTTTAGGCTTTCCTTTACCAACTTTTTTTTTTTTTTTTTTAGTCAGAGTCTGGCTCAATTTTTTTTTTTGTGAGTCGGAGTCTCACTCTGTCACCCAGACTAGAGTGCAGTGGCACGCTCCTGGCCACCGCAGCCTTGACCTGCTGGGCTCCGGTGATCCTTCCGCCTCAGCCTTCCAAGCAGCTGAACTACAGGCGTGCGCTACCACGCCTAGCTAATTTTTGATTTGTTGTAGAGATGAGGTCTCGCCAAGTTGCCCGGGTGGGTCTCGAACCCATGGGGTCAGGCAATTCACTCACCTTGGCCTCCCAAAGCACGGGATTACAGGCTGAGCCACCGAGCTCGGCCAATTTTTAAAATTTATGGTAGAGACGAGGTCTCACCAAGTTGCCCAGACTGATCTCAAACCCCTAGGCTCAGGCAATCCACTCACCTCGGCCTCCCAAAGTGCTGGGGTTATAGGCATGAGCCACCGTGCCCGGCCCTTTACCAAAACATTTTAAACAAAACTACTTTCTATAGAAAATAAAATTTAAAAACGGCTTACCAAGGCAGAATTTGATGCTTCATCTCCAGTACACACCAGGATGTTGCCATCATTCTCTGGGCTTTGGAAAAGGGCACTTTTGGTCAATAACTTACAAGTGGGTCCCCCAGGAAATGTTTGTACAGAATGGCAGGAGCAGACTGGATTTCTGGTGTCATCCAGCCTGTAAGACAGCTCCATCAGCACACTTCGCATGGTGTTGTGGTTTTTATCTAGGGGAGAGAGAAATCAGTGCTGCACCATGGGGATGCTACAAAAGTACATTAACCAAGTACTTGAACTTTAGACACTTACAACATAGTTCGATAGAAAAGTCTTAAGTGTATTAAGCCATCAAGAAATAGCTACAGGCCAGGTGCAATGGCTCACACCTATAACCCTAGCACTTTGGGAAGCCAAGGTAGGAGAAGTGCTTGATTCCAGGAGCCTGAGACCAGCCTAGGCAACATAGCAAAACCTCATCTCTACAAAAAAAAAAAAAAATCAAATAACTAGGCATGGTGGCACATGCCTGTAACCCCAGCGACTTGGGAGGTTGAGGCAGAAAAATCACTTGAACCCATGAGATCAAAGCTGTGGTGAGTCGTGACTGTGTCACTGTCTGTCTCTGACCACCCCCCAAAGCTACAAAACACAATAACAAGAGAAAAATAATACAAAACAAATGGAATTCAGAACCTAGGGTAGGATAAAGCAAGTTATCTGCAATAGGCTTTTGCCTACAAGAGACAATTCTGAGAATGAGTTATCCATTTTAGTAAAATCACCGTCTCTTGCCAGAGCTCTGCGGAAATTTCTTTTTCTTTTTCAAGTTGGAGCCTTACTCTGTCACCCAGACTGGAGTGCAGTGGTCACTCCTGGCTACCGCAGCCTCGACCTACTGGGCTCCAGCAATCCTTCCGCCTCAGCCTTCCAAGTAGCTAGAACTACAGGCACGCGCTACCACACCCGGCTAAATTTTTTATTTCTTGTAGAGACGAGGTCTCGCCAAGTTGCCCAGGCGGGTCTTGAACCCACGGGCTCAGGCAATTCATTCACCTCAGCCTCCCAAGGCGCGGGATTACAGCCTGAGCCACCGAGCCCAGCTGGAAATTTATTTTTCAAGAGTTCTGAGTAAAAGGTTTTTTTCCTTCTCCAGTGAGAACCTCATTAGCCCCCGGGACCACACATTTTTATAACATGAAAGCATGTTATTACAGAAAGGGAAACACATATTTGAGGTTCTGCTGATAGGCAAACAAAAGGTGGAGAACAAAATGGAACCTCCAGCTTTCTACACAAGTCATAGCCTTGGGAGACAGCAGGGCTGTGGGATGACAAACAGCCAAGAGGGTCAGAAGAGCTAGCTGACACAGTCTCACAGCTAAAACAAACCAAAACAATCACATCTACTCACAACTAGCAGTGTGGGCACTTAATGATTAACTCTGATCAAACATCTGCCTATTACAAATTTGCTACAGCTGCTACCTCGGCATCCACTTTTAGGTCTGACTTAAGTTGTTTTTATTCAAAACCTTTGGCTTAGTTAAAGCTTCCCCTCCCCAAGTCGTGGCTTGGAACACAGCCCACTTGTTCTTCATTTTCCCATATCACCCGTGCTCCCCCCACAGCTGAGTATGCATATCTCGGACGACTCCCCTTTATTCCCATTGGCCCTTTGAAGTATGTTGCCTTCTTCTCTCTGTAAGTAATAAAGTACTTCTGTCACATCACGTTTTTGTTGAATTGCCTCCTTTTTTGTGCGTCTCACCTGACCGACACATCTGAACCTAAGTTCTTTCCTGGTTGGGGCTTTCCTAGAGGGTGGCTATCTTGGTAGGAAGAAACCGGACACAGGTCAGACAAGAACCACAAGGGTACCTGCCAGTATAAGCATATTTCCTGTGAGAGGGACATCTAGTCATGGGCTAGACACTTAGAATTAGGCCATCTGCCAGGGTAAAGAAATACCCTGTGAAAGGCATACTGTAAACACCCAAGACCACTTGGAACCCTGCCAGGGGCTAGAGTTTACAGCAATTTTCCTGGGAGAGACTTTAAGACCAAATTAGAAAGAAAAAAGATGCCTTTTAGGCTAGAAAGAACTTGTGAATTAAGCACCATCATCTGTCAGGCATTCCACCTCTGGTTCTGGAGGCAGTGACAGTCAGCTGGCCAGGCCCATACGATGTGGTTGTCCATTTTCCCTTATTTACATTTGTTGGCTCCAAATAAGAAAAAATAGTTAATATCATCATCTGGGCACTTCATGGCTGCCTTCATCTGGGTCTTTCTCTTAGGTGAAATGAGGGGCAGGCAGAAGACATGAAATTGATGTGAAGATGGTTCAATAGCCCCAAGAGCTGGCCTCCACACTGCATCATTGTTTTAAGTTGCAGGGGTTCCTAAGTGGCTACCTCACATGCAGGAGAACCTGGCATCATCATCCTCACTGTAGTAGCAAGAGCTACAACACATTCTACTGGAATGTAAAGTGTACCACGGATACCCAAAGGGTGGGATCAAGCTCTCTTTCCTTCCCCTCTATCAATCTGGTCCTAAACAAACAGCAGGAGGTCCCATGAGGACACTCCAACACTCACCAGGCCTATAAGTCACAAGACAGTGCCGGGTGCTGCTCTCCGTCTGAAAGTCTATGCAGCCCCCTGGCTCCAATGGCAGCACATGAGGCCAATGAGAAAAGTCCATTTTCAGTTCCCAAAAAGTCGCATCCTCCAAGGTTCCAGCCAAAACCCCACCATATGGAAATGCAGCTGAGGCAGCTCTGGGTATGTATGACAGGGATACGAGTGGGCATCTGAAGAGAAAGAAAGAAAAAAAACTATGTCTCACATTCTAAAACTTGGACAGCTCCAGACCCCACTACCAGGAGCCCTCAAGGACATTCCTACCTCTACAGAAGAGGTTAAACACATGTGGGTCACTATCTTCTGACATCTGACCAAAATCATCACCCCTCTCTGCAGAAATTAAAAAGCATACATACAATATTCTGCATCTAATTTCAGGGGAGACAGCAGACGCTACAGAAGGTATTTTTTAAAGTGGACCTGGAAATTTAATGGATATAAGATCATAATAAGCCGGGCTTGGTGGCTCAGCCTGTAATCCCACGACTTTGGGAGGCTGAGGTGAGTGGATTGCCTGAGCCCGTGGGTTCGAGACTAGCCTGGGCAACTTGGCGAGACCTCATCTCTACAATAAATAAAAAATTAGCTGGGCGTGGTAGAGCGTGCCTGTAGTTCCAGCTACTCGGAAGGCTGAGGCTGAAGGATTGCCGGAGCCCAGCAGGTCGAGGTTGCGGTGGCCGGGAGCAGCCACTGCACTCTGGTCTGGGCGACAAAGTGAGACTTCGACTCAAAAAAAAAAAAATCGCAGTAATTAGGAAGCTTTGCTGGTGTGGAGCTCCTGGAAATAGGGTAAGCCACTGACACAAGAAAAGTAAAAAAAAATGGCCAGGTGTAGTGGCTCAGCACTTTGGGAGGCCGAGGTGAGAGGATAGCCTGAGCCCACGGGTTAGAGACCAGTCTGGGCAACTTGGTAAGACCTCATCTCTACAATAAATCAAAAAATTAGCCCTGTGTGGTAGCACATGCCTGTAATTCCAGCTACTTGGAAGGCTGAGGCAGAAGGATCACCTGAGTCCAGCAGGTCGGGGCTGCGGTGGCCGTGAGCACGCCACTGCACTCCAGTCTGGGCTATAGAGTGAGACTCCAATGCAAAAAAAAAATTTAAAAAATGAAGCACACATACATATATATATATATATTAAAATAAAGACCCAAGCTAAGCCGGGCTCGGTGGCTCAGTCTATAATCCCGCGCCTTTGGGAGGCTGAGGTGAGTGGATTGCCTGAGCCCACGGGTTTGAGACCCGCCTGGGCAGGCGAGACCTCATCTCTACAATAAAATCAAACAATTAGCTGGGCGTGGTAGCACATTTCTGTAATTCCGGCTACTCGGAAGGCTGAGGCGGAAGGATTGCCGGAGCCCAACAGGCGAGGCTGCGGTGGCCGGGAGCGGCCACTGCACTCCAGTCTGGGCGGCAGAGTGAGACTCCAACTCAAAAAAAAAAAAAAAAGACCCAAGCTATAGTTCATAGATTCTGCAATTAAAATACAGCTAAAAGCAACTACATTTTAATTCAGAAAAAGGACAGCTTCCTTAGATTTTCTAAATTTCTTTCTGCAATATGACTAGGACTAAGATGCCAAGAATCCTCTCAGAACTATCAGCCTGCAAAATATGTTCCTATGACCTTGTTTCTGCTGAAGTTGTCAAAGCAACTCTGTTACCTGTTTTATTTCATTTTCCCTGTCACATAAAGGTAGCCAAAGTAAACAAAACCAAAAATGAATAATACATAAAAATATTCTTTCCTTGCTATTTTTTTTTTTTTGAGTTGGAGTCTCACTCTGTCGCCCAGACTGGAGTGCAGTGGCCGCTCCCGGCCACCACAGCCTCGACCTGCTGGGCTCCAGCGATCCTTCCGCCTCAGCCTTCCGAGTAGCTGGAATTACAGGCATGCGCTACCATGCCCGGCTGATTTTTTTATTTATTGTAGAGATGAGGTCTCGCTGCCCAGGCGGGTCTCGAACCCACGGGCTCAGGCAATCCACTCACCTCAGCCTCCCAAAGGCGCGGGATTACAGGCTGAGCCACCGAGCCCGGCTCTTTCCTTCTTATTTTTAAACTTGTCGTATTTTATCGTCTACTCTACATGGGTCCCTCTGTATTAATAGAAATTACTTTGTTTGCTTGGATTTCACAGCAATCATCTTCATGCCCATCCCATCAGGACCATACCACTGAAATATGATCTACCCCACTCAAATGAAAAAATTCCAAAGTGCTGAGGCTAGTTTGGTAAAGGTTTATTACTGTAGTGATACCTTTATGTTTAGATTCCCCTGCTCCTTTCAATATATATTCAAACTGGAAATGAACATTCTCACTTTTTTTTTTTTGAGTTGGAGTCTCACTCTGTCACTCAGACTGGAGTGCAGTGGCCGCTCCTGGCCACCGCAGCCTCAACCTGCTGGGCTCCGGCGATCCTTCTGCCTCAGCCTTCCAAGTAGCTGTAACTACAGGCACGCACTACCACGCCCGGCTGATTTTTGATTTTTATTGTAGAGATGAGGTCTCGTCAAGTTGCCCAGGCGGGTCTCAAATCCGCGGGCTCAGGCAATTTACTCACCTTAGCCTCCCAAGGCGCGAGATTACAGGCTGAGCCACCGAGCCCGGCTGAACATTCTCTCTTAAGATACTTTTCATCTTGGCCAGGTCAGACCCCACTACTATTTTGAGAACTTTATACCTTCTGGATAGTCCAAACAGTGCTCAACACATTCTGAGAAGACACAATGGTGCTGGTAGCCATTCACTCTCAGAACTTGGGCCGACTTTACAAACTCCCAATCCCATAACTGGATTATAAGTGATGATGATGATAATAATAATAAGATAATAATAATATAATATCCTCAAACTAAGTTGGTTTAGTTTTGGATTAGTGACGTTTTAAATAGCTTTTTATCAGGCTACTTTTTATTGATATCTTCCTATGTGCTAGAAATGTGGCTATTGAAGCAAATCTATGTTAACCAGATTTTACACATGAAGCTCACAACAGGCCAAGAAAAATAACAAAGGTCACACAGTTCCAAAGTAGTGGAGCTGGGTTCCGAACACAGATCTCACTCTAATTTACCATGTTAGACTTCAAAGACCTAGCTATAACTTGGTATCAGTGCTTTCTATCATGTAAAAATGAACACAAACTCTAAGGATTTCACTGAGTCTGAAGCGAGATCAGTAGATCTTAGAGAGCTGTTCTTTGAGAGGATTTCTGAGCAACTGTGGAACACCTCCTGAAGAGATTTATATAACAATCCAAGAGAAAGTTGCTACCTCCAGGAAAAAGGTGACTGGTTCCTTACCTGGCTTTCTGAGGGACCAACTCCTGGACATGACTGTTTGTGTTTCGCAAGTCATACACCAGAATTGAACCATTGGCCAGTCCAGCATATATATAATTATTCTCATCAAGACACCAGCAACAACTCCAGACAGGACGTCCGGCATTGTAGGTCTGGACCACAGTATTTGTCTCTAGGCTGTGAAGCATTAAGAAAACCAAATATATGACAAAGATATAAAGATTATCATTTAAGTGAATAATAATCCTTACTGAGAAAACACCCACACACCAAAACTATGTGAATTCCTGACTTCCTCTAAGCACTGCCCAGATAACCCTTTTAAAATCTAAAACATTTGTTTTGGGAGCCACAAGTTTTCTTCTTGAGCTGTAAGGAAGTAAAATAATACGTTAAACGGAGATATGAACAGAATACTCCTGTTACCTTCCCCACAGTTACTTATCACACAGGAATTAATATACAATGTTGGTAAATTAGAAAATACATTTAAGAAAAATAAATTAAGCCGGGCTCGGTGGCTCAGCCTGTAATCCCATGCCTTTGGGAGGCTGAGGTGAGTGGATTGCCTGAGCCCGCGGGTTCGAGACCCGCCTGGGGCAACTTGGCGAGACCTCATCTCTACAATAAATCAAAATTAGCTGAGCGTGGTAGCGCGCGCCTGTAGTTCCAGCTACTTGGAAGGCTTAGGCAGAAGGATCACCGGAGCCCAGCAGGTCGAGCAGGTGCATTGTTGTCCCTGCCGAAGTATAGTGGTGTAATCACAGCTCACTGTAACCTCAAATTCCTGAGCTCGAGTGATCCTCCTGCCTCAGACTCCCAAGTAGCTAGGACTACAAGCAGGTGCCACCATGCCCTGTTAATTCTTTTTTTTTTTCTTTTGAGTCAGAGCCTCACTCTGTCACCCAGGCTGCAGTGCAGTAGCAGGCTTATGGCCACTGCAGCCTTAGCCCACTAGGCTCAGGCGATCCTTCTGCCTCAGTCTTCCAAATAGATGGAACTACAGGCACTCACCACCATGCCCAGCTAGTTTTTTTAATTTACTGTAGAGATGAATTCTCACCAAGTTGCCCAGATTGGTCTGGAACCCCTGGGCAATCTTCTCGTCTCTGCCTTCAAAAGTCCTGGGATGGCCGGGTTTGGTGGCTCAGCCTGTAATCCCGCGTCTTTGGGAGGCTGAGGTGA